CCTCCCGGTTCCCAATCAGCAGAGGGTTCGGGGTCTCCAGGATTCTCCCGGTCCCGCAGCACTGCAGGGTCGGGGTCTCCGGGATGAGGAGGGGGCCGCTGCCGGCAGGCGCGTGCGGGAGGTGACGAGCACGGCGGTGGCAGAAGTGGCAGCTCTGTCCCCAGACGAGCAATTAGCCCAGGGGCAAATGAGGCTCCTGCGGTTTTTGACCCAATTTCTCAGGCGAAACTCGACGGGGGAAGGAGGGGAGGGAGGAGGAGGAGGAGGAGGAAGGCAGAGCCGGTCACGCGTGTGCTGCTGCGTGGCGTGCCCCCGCGGGTGTGCGCACAGGCGTGTGACATGTGTGTGACATGTGTGTGCGGGCGGCAGCGTGTCCCCAGCCGGGGCCGAGCCCCGGGGCGGCGCGGGGACGGGAATGGGGACCAGGATGGGGATGGGGACGGGGATGGAGACAAGGATGGGGACGAGGAGGGGGCGGTGGCTTCGCAGCTCTCGCCGGGTTTATTTTTGCCGGTGACTGAGCTGAGGCGGCCTCGGCGCGGCCGCCGTGACTCACCCGGCACCGGGAGCTCTGCGGGGCTGCGGAGCCGGGGGCTTGCTGGGATTCACAGGGATTCGCAGGGACGCAGGGATACTGGGATTCGCAGGGGTGAGCACGGATTCAGGGATGCTGGGATTCACAGGGGTGAGCAGGGACGCAGGGATGCTGGGATGGGCAGGGGTGAGCACGGATTCAGGGATGCTGAGCCATGCAGGGATGTCAGGATGAACAGGAATGCAAAAGGATGCGGGGATGAGCAGGAATGCAGGGATGAGCTAGGAGGTGCAGCACTGCCGGGCTGTGGAAGGATCCTGGAGTCTGCAGGGATGCAGGAATATGCAGGGATGTGCAGGGATGCAGGAGTGTGCAGGGATGTGTAGGGATATGCAGAGATTTGCAGGGATTCAGGGATGCAGGGATATGCAGGAATTCAGGAATGCAGGCATTCAGGGATGCAGGGATGTGCAGGGATATGCAGGGATGCGGGAATATGCAGGGATATGCAGGGCTGCAGGGACTCAGGAATGACACGGGATTCAGGAATTCAGAGGTTTAGGGATGCAGGCACACGCAGGGTTTCAGGGACGCAGGAATGCGGGTATCCCTCCCGCCCCGCACTCCTTCCCTCTCCCTCTCCCTCTCCCTCTCCTTCTCCCTCTCCCTCTCCTCTCCCTCTCCCCTCCCAGCCGCTCTCCGCCGGTGTCACCAGCAGAGCTGCCCCGGGAAGGTCCCCGCGCCCCCCGCCCGTGCCCCCCCAGCACCGGGAAAGGAGCGGGGATCCCCAAGGACACGCGGGGACCGGTACCGGGAACCGGTACCGGGGGCGAGGCTTTTGCAGGGGGGCGAACACGGCGGGAGGGGTCGGTGGGGCTGGCGGACACGGAGAGTGGCGGGGGGCACACGGAGCCCGCACCCCTTCCCTCTCCCCCTCCCTCTCCCTCTCCTTCTCCCTCTCCCTCTCCTCTCCCTCTCCCCTCCCAGCCGCTCTCCGCCGGTGTCACCAGCAGAGCTGCCCCGGGAAGGTCCCCGCGCCCCCCGCCCGTGCCCCCCCAGCACCGGGAAAGGAGCGGGGATCCCCAAGGACACGCGGGGACCGGTACCGGGAACCGGTACCGGGGGCGAGGCTTTTGCAGGGGGGCGAACACGGCGGGAGGGGTCGGTGGGGCTGGCGGACACGGAGAGTGGCGGGGGGCACACGGAGCTGCCGCGGCGGAGTCCCCGCGGTGCCGAGGGCGGTACCGGACACCGGGAACGGGGCGGCGGCTCCGCCTCTTCCTGCGGCGGGCGGTGAGTGCGGAGCGGCGCCGGGAGGGGGCCGGGGAGCGGCTCCCGGGGGTCCCCAGGGCTGCTCGGGGGTCCCCGTTGCTGTCCGGGTGTCACCGCTGCTGTTCGGGGGGTCCCCAGCACGGTCCGATGGTGCCCAGGGGTGTCCCCGGGTCCCCAGCGCTGTTCTGGGTGTCCCCAGTACAATCCAAGGGTCCCCATTCCCGCCCAGGTGTCCCCAGTAGTGTTTAGGGTGTTCCCATTCGCACCCAGGTGTCCCCATTCCCGTTTTGGGTGTCCCCAGTCCCACCTAGGTGTCCCCAGTCCCGTTTTGGGTGTCCCCAGCCCCATTCTGGGTGTCCCAGGTCCCACCTAGGTGTCCCCAGTCCCGTTTTGGGTGTCCCCAGCCCCATTCTGGGTGTCCCAGGTCCCATTTTTAGGTGTCCCCAGCCCTGTTTTGGGTGCCCCCAGTCCCACCCGGGTGTCCCCAGCCCCGTTCTGGGTGTCCCAGGTCCCATTTTGGGTGTCCCCAGCCCTGTTTTGAGTGCCCCCAGTCCCACTCAGGTGTCTCCAGCCCCATTTTGGGTGTCCCCAGCCCCGTTCTGGGTGTCCCCAGCCCCGTTCTGGGTGTCCCAGCCCTGTTTTGGGTGCCCCCAGCCCTGTTCTGGGTGTCCCAGGTCCCATTTTGGGTGTCCCCATCATGCCCATCCCTCTCTGCAGGCGGCGATGCCCGTGGAGCCCCTGGTCTGTGCCCACACGGCCACGCGGTGAGTGCCGGCCCCTCCCGCCTGTCACCCGCTGTCCCCAGCCCTGGCCCTGCCCCTGATGTCCCCCGGGGGGGTGGCACTGTCCCCGCAGGGTGAGCTCGGTGCTGAACCGGGACGTGAAGCACTTCGGGAAGCAGCACCTGTTCGATGGCAGCGAGGAGACCTGCTGGAAATGTCACCAGGTGAGGGGACAGGGACAGGGACACAGCTGTGACCCCCCCTGCCCCGCTCCGTGCCCCCTGTGACACTCCTGTCCCCTCCCAGGGCACATCCCAGTGGGTCACCCTGGATTTTCCCCGCCCTGTCAAGGTCTCCCAGCTGCACATCCAGTTCCAGGGGGGCTTTTCCAGCCGGCTGTGCACGCTGGAAGGTGAGGATCGCCTCAGGTGCGGGCTCCTGCCTCAGTTTACCCACGCCTGCATCCTGCAGGGGCTCCAGGGAGGCTCGGGGTGATGTGTCAGCCATTCCCAAAGCCCAGAAGGGGCTCAGGAGCACCTGCAGAGGCTCTGTGGGTGAAGAAAGAGGGGCTGGGAGCTGGTGGGAACTAGGGAATATTTTGGGGGAGCACCTGGAGCAGCTCCAGGGGTGAATAAAAGAGGGGCTGCCTGTCCCCTCCCAGGGCACATCCCAGTGGGTCACCCTGGATTTTCCCCGCCCTGTCAAGGTCTCCCAGCTGCACATCCAGTTCCAGGGGGGCTTTTCCAGCCGGCTGTGCACGCTGGAAGGTGAGGATCGCCTCAGGTGCGGGCTCCTGCCTCAGTTTACCCATGCCTGCATCCTGCAGGGGCTCCAGAGAGGCAATTCCCAAAGCCCAGGAGGGGCTCAGGAGCACCTGCAGAGGCTCTGTGGGTGAAGAAAGAGGGGCTGGGAGCTGGTGGGAACTAGGGAATATTTTGGGACAGCACCTGGAGCAGTTCCAGGGGTGAATAAAAGAGGGGCTGGGATCTTCTGGGAGCCGTGGAACATTTTGGGACAGCACCTGGAGCAGCTCCAGGGGTGACTAAAGAGGGGCTGGGAGCTGGTGGGAACTAGGGAACATTTTGGGACAGCACCTGAAGGCTGCTGGAAGCACCTGGAGCAGCTTCAGTAGTGAATAAAGAGGGGATGGAATCTTCTGGGAGCCATGGAACATTTTGGGACAGCACCTGACAGCACCTGGAGCAGCTCCAGGGGTGAATAAAGGAGGACATGGGATCTTCTGGGAGGCGGTGGGATCCAGGGAAGATTTTGGGACAGACCTGAGAGCACCTGGAGCAGCTCCATAGGTGAATAAAGGGGAGCTGGGAGCCTTTGGGTGCTAGTGGGAGCCAGGGAAGATTTTGGGACAGACCTGAGAGCACCTGGAGCAGCTCCATAGGTGAATAAAGGGGAGCTGGGAGCCTTTGGGTGCTAGTGGGAGCCAGGGAAGATTTTGGGACAGACCTGAGAGCACCTGGAGCAGCTTCATAGGTGAATAAAGGGGAGCTGGGAGCCTTTGGGTGCTAGTGGGAGCCAGGGAAGATTTTGGGACAGCACCTGGAGGCTCCTGGAAGCACCTGAGGCTCTCCTCGCCCTCCCCAGGCTGCAGAACGGGCGAGGAACTGGTGAAAATATCCGAGCTGTACCCCCAGGACAGCCACGCCATGCAAATATCCTTTGCCAGGAAGGTGATGGGGAGAAGGCAGAGTTTGGGGATTTTTGGGGAATTCCGCTGCTGAGCGGAGCTGGGGGTGTGACCCCCACATCCCAGTCCCAGCGTTATTCCTTGACTGGGAACTGCACAGGTTCCAGGTGGAGGAGACGGTGCTGGACAAGCTGAAAATCACCTTTGGGAGCAGCACGGATTTCTTCGGGAGGGTGGTGGTTTATCACCTGGGGGTGCTGGGGGAGAGGCTCTAGGGGGGGACCCCCGGGGCTGTCCCCTCTTTGGGGGCTCTGAACACCCCACGAGGGGGATCCCTGTCTCCTGAGGTGACACCGGTGAGGCTGTGGTGGGGCACAGGCGTGGAATGGGATCAATAAAAGATATTCCTGTTTTTTCCTGGAATGAGCCCTCAGGGTTTGGCTTCAGGACAGAGAAGTGTCCCCTCCCTGTGCTGTCACCTCGGTGGCCCCCCCTGAGCTGCCTGGGATGGCAGCAACAGAATCCTGCAGGATTTTCCCTCCTGGCTGTGGCAGTTTTATAGGAGCTTCCCTTTCCAAAGGGACAGCAGCTCTGGACAGGAATTCCACAGTGCTGAGGGGAAATTTTGACTCATGGCCGCCCAAAAACTGGAATTCCCATGTGCCAGAATCCTGCAGGATTTTCCCTCCTGGCTGTGGCAGTTTTACGGGAGAAGGGACAGCTCTGGACAGGAATTCCACAGTGCTGAGGGGAAATTTTGACTCATGGCCGCCCAAAACCCGGGGTTAGGATGGGCTGAGGCAGCAGATAATTAAACTCCACAGAGTTTAATTGCAATTAGAGTTTACTTCTGATGGCAAACACAGAGCAGCCGAGCCCAGCCAGGGCTGGAATGAGTGTCCCTGGATTTCAGGCACGGCAGCCATGCCACCCCCGGGTGAAGCTTGGATCCACGAGGGCAGAAATTCCTGGATTTCCCCATGCCTGGAGCATCAGGATGAGGCCATGGTGATCCTGGGAAGAGCTGGAGCTGCTGCCTCACTTCTTCTTCTTCTTGTTCTGGAACAGCTTCAGGATGTGGTTCTCGATAACCTGTTGGACTGAGGGAGGGAGAGGGTGGGATTCAGGGAAGCTGCTCTGGGAAGGAGCTGGTCATCGTTTTACTCTTGTTTTCTGAGGGAAAATCCCAGTTTTCTGAGGGGAACGCCTCTTTCCTGAGGGAAAATCCCAATTTTCTGAGGAAGAATCCCAGTTTTCTGAGGGAAAATCCCAGTTTTCTGAGGCAAAGTCCCTGTTTTCTGAGGGGAACACCTGTTTCCTGAGGGGAAACCCAGGTATTCTGAGGCAAAATCCCATTTCCTGAGGGAAATCCCCATTTTCTGAAATGCCCCCTGAAATACCAGTTTCCTGAGGGGAAAACCCCTGTTTCCTGAGGGAAACCCCTGTTTCCTGAGGGAAATCCCTGTTTCCTGAGTGAAACCCCTGCTTTTTAAGGGCAAAATCCCCATTTTCTGAGGGAAATCCCCGTTTCCTGAGGGAAATACCAGTTTCCTGAGGGAAATCCCCGTTTCCTGAGGGAAATCCCCAGTTTTCTGAGGGAAATACCAGTTTTCTGAGGGGAAATCCCCATTTTCTGAGTGGAAAACCCCCGTTTCCTGAGGGAAATCCCTGTTTCCTGAGGGAAACCCCTGCTTTTTGAGTGGAAATCCCCCGTTTCCTGATGGAGACCACTTGCCTTTCTTGTGTCCCAGGGCCACGGCCAGGTCCATGGGGGTGTACCCCGAATCCGCCTCCTCGGTCAGGTCAGCGCCGCAAGCTGTGGGTCAGCAGTGGGGGCTGCCAGGGGGAACCTCGCCCCTCAGCCTCCCCCCTCGCCCCTCAGCCTCCTCTCCTGGGCAGCAATTCCAGGAGATGGGGCCACCAAGGAGCAGATTTTTGCCTTACCCAGGAGGGCCTCCACACACTTGACGTGGTTCCCGCGCACGGCGTAGAGCAGGGGGGTGCCCCCGTTCTGTGGGGTGGGGAGGAGGTGGAGAGGTCATTCCTGGGCTCACACAGCTCCTGCTTCTCCCTGGGGTCCCTCATGGTAATTTCTGGGCTCACACAGCCCCTGCTTCTCCCTGGGATCCCTCAGGGTGGGCAGATGTCATTTCTGGACCCACACAGCCCCTGCTTCTCCCTGGGGTCCCTCAGGGTCATCCCTGGGCTCAAAGCCCCTGCTTCTCCCTGGGGTCCCTCAGAGGTAATTTCTGGGCTCACACAGCCCCTGCTTCTCCCTGGGGTCCCTCAGGGGCTTCCCCACCCGCTGGGATCCATTCCAGCCTCTCCCAGTTCCGGACTGGGATCTCCTTCCAGCCTCTCTCAATTCCAGACCAGGACTCACTGGGATCGCCTTCCCAGCTCTCCCAGTTCCAGACTGGGATCCCGTCCCAGCCTTTCCCAGCTCCAGACTGGGATCCCATCCCAGCTCTCCCAGTTCCGACTGGGATCCCATTCCAGCCTCTCTCAATTCCAGACCAGGACTCACTGGGATCCCCTTCCCACCTCTCCCAGTTCCAGACTGGAACTCACTAGGATCTCGTCCCAGCTTCTCCCAGCTCCAGACTGGGATCGCCTTCCCAGCTCTCCCAGTTCCAGACTGGGATCCCATCTCAGCTCTCCCAGTTCCAGACTGGATCTCACTGGGATCCCATTCCAGCCCCTCCCAGTTCCAGACTGGATCTCACTGGGATCCCATTCCAGCATCTCCCAGTTCCAGACTGGATCTCACTGGGATCCCATTCCAGCCTCTCCCAGTTCCAGGCTGGTGTCCCCCGGCCACGCTGGTGGCACTGGGGAGGCCTGTCCCCGCTGTCCCCCGGCCGTGCGGGTGGCACTCACCCAGTCGTAGGTGTTGATGTCCACGTCCCTGTCCAGCAGCATGGTGACGATGTCGGTGTAGCCGCCCATGCTGGCCAGGGCCAGCGCGCTCTCGCGCTCCTTGGCCAGCGCGTGGGGATCGGCAATGAAGGATAGATCCCAGAATTAGGGAAGATCCCAGGATCAAGGACATGTCCCAGGAAGAAGGACAGACCCCAGGACCAAGGACAGACTCCAGGACCAAGGATAGACCCCAGGACAGACCCCAGACCCCAGGACCAAGGACAGACCCCAGGACAAGGACAGAGCCCAGGACAGACCCCAGGACAAGGACAGAGCCCAGGACTGAGCCCAGGACAGAGCCCAGGACCCCCCGGCAGCCCCCCGGCCTCACCCACTCCAGCAGGTGCCGCACGGTCTCGATCTCCCCGAAAGCTGCGGCCCAGATCAGGGGGGTGAAGCCCCTCTCGTCGGGTTTGTTCACCAAATTCTCACCTGGGGAGGTGACAACAGCCACGTGAACCCCCCCCCTGCTCCCAGTTCAACCAGTACAACCAGTAAGGGCTGGTAAACCACCTCAGCCAGCTGCTGGATGGTTGGAATTGAGGATTTTTGAGGATCTTTCCCATCTGCAAAACTGGAGAAATCTCCACAAGAAGCCCCAATTCCAGTGGTGTTATGGCTGGGTGGAATGCAAGTGGGAGGTCACCAGAGGGGACCTGGCAGGTCCTGGCAGGGCCAAAGGGACACCAACCTTTCCTCAGGTGCTCCTTCAGCTGGATGAGCTCCCCTTGGGCAGCGAGCTGGTGGATGGACAGCGCTGCAAGAGACAAATCCATCAGGGAAAAAGAATTCCCTGCAAATCTGGGAGGTGGGAGCTGCCCCAGGGTGGCCCCAGCCCCCTCCCCTGCTGTCCCCATGTCCCCATGGACAGCGCTGGAAGGGACAAATCCATCAGGGAAAAAGAATTCCCTGCAAATCTGGGAGGTGGGAGCTGCCCCAGGGTGGCCCCAGCCCCTGCCCTGCTGTCCCCATGTCCCCGTGGACAGCACTGCAAGAGACAAATCCATCAGGGAAAAAGAATTCCCTGCAAATCTGGGAGGTGGGAGCTGTCCCCACAGTCCTGGGGTGACCCCAACCCTCCTCTGTCCCCTTGGATAACGCTGGAAGGGACAAATCCATCAGGGAAAAAGAATTCCCTGCAAATCTGGGAGGAGGGAGCTGTCCCCACAGTCCTGGGGTGACCCCAACCCTCCTCTGTCCCCTTGGATAACGCTGGAAGGGACAAACCCATCAGGGAAAAAGAATTCCCTGCAAATCTGGGAGGAGGGAGCTGTCCCCACAGTCCTGGGGTGACCCCAACCCTCCTCTGTCCCCTTGGATAACGCTGGAAGGGACAAACCCATCAGGGAAAAAGAATTCCCTGCAAATCTGGGAGGAGGGAGCTGTCCCCACAGTCCTGGGGTGACCCCAACCCTCCTCTGTCCCCTTGGATAACGCTGGAAGGGACAAACCCATCAGGGAAAAAGAATTCCCTGCAAATCTGGGAGGAGGGAGCTGTCCCCACAGTCCTGGGGTGACCCCAACCCTCCTCTGTCCCCTTGGATAACGCTGGAAGGGACAAACCCATCAGGGAAAAAGAATTCCATGCAAATTTGGGAGGTGGGAGCTGTCCCCACAGTCCTGGGGTGGCCCCAGCCCCTGCCCTGCTGTCCCCATGTCCCCGTGGACAGCACTGCAAGAGACAAACCCATCAGGGAAAAAGAATTCCATGCAAATTTGGGAGGTGGGAGCTGTCCCCACAGTCCTGGGGTGACCCCAACCCTCCTCTGTCCCCTTGGATAACGCTGGAAGGGACAAATCCATCAGGGAAAAAGAATTCCCTGCAAATCTGGGAGGTGGGAGCTGTCCCCAAAGTCCCAGGGTGACCCCAACCCTCCCCTGTCCCCTTGGATAACGCTGGAAGGGACAAACCCATCAGGGAAAAAGAATTCCCTGCAAATTTGGGGGGTGGGAGCTGTCCCCAAAATCCCGGGGTGGCCCCAGCCCCTGCCCTGCTGTCCCCACGGGTGGCCCCAGCCCCTGCCCTGCTGTCCCCTGTCCCCTGGGGACACTGGTGGCACTCACTGTCCAGCGTGGCCGGCAGCGCTGACACCTCGTTGCCTCTCTGTCTGTTGGTCAAGGTGTTGGAATGCTTCAGGGGGAAACCTGGGGCAGCACAGAGGGTCTGCACTTTATTCTCCATTAATTTGGGGTTATCCAATTCCAGCATGGAGCTGCAGCGACCTCTCAGGGTTGGCAGGAGGAGTGGGCACCAAACTTTGGGATTGGGATTGGGGTGGGATTTTCCACATTTGAGGCCCTTTCCTGGGAATCCCAAAGTGTTTCCAGCCCTTGACATGCAATTTTATTGCAAAAAATCCAGGAAAAATGAGAATTCCCATCTCCAATTCCAGCGTGGAGCTGCAGCGACCTCTCAGGGCTGGCAGGAGGAGTGGGCACCAAACTTTGGGATTGGGATTGGGGTGGGATTTTCCACATTTGAGGCTCCTTCCTGGGATTTTTGGGACGGGAGATGCCAGGGAATTCCCCCTGTGCCACACTCACCATCCAGGGGCTCGCTGGGGCTCTGGGAATCCACGGGAGCAGCCGAGGGATCCCGCGGGGTCTCAGCTCCACCTGCCACCCGGGCACCTCGCTGTCACCCCCGGGCACCTTTCGGGGTGTCCTGGGCTGGGTGGTCCCACCCAGCTCAGGGTACCCCACTTTCCAGGAGGACCCCGGGTCCAGTTTGTCCCCAGCATTCCCAACTCACCGTCCCCACGCTCCGGCAGCGCCGCGTCCCCGTCCTGCCGGGGACACGCCGAGGGGACCCCGCTGTCCCCCATGCTGCCTTTTCACTCCTTCCCCCCTTTTTCCACCCAGTTCTGGGGGGGGTCCTGTGCTCCAGGGGGGCTCCCCGACAGCTCCTTCACCTTCCTGGCACAAGGATGGGGTGGGAGAGGGGGGAAACGGGGACGGGTGGGACAGACCCCGAGCGCCTGAGACCCCCACACTGCACAGGGGTCTGGGGTCCCCTCTGCCCTCCCCATCCCAGTTCCTGGGGTCCCCCTGATTGTTCTCATCCTGTTTCTGGGATCCCCCATCTCAATTCCTGGGCTCCCCCTTGTTCTCCTTATCCTGTTTCTGGGATCTTCCCTTCCCTTCCCTTCCCTCGCCCCCTCACGTCCCGTTCCTGCGGCCGCGGGGCCCGGCGGGGCCGGGGCGGTTCGGGGAGCGCGGCCCGGCCCCGCCGCCCACGAGAGCGGCCTTAAAGCGACACGAGGGGCCTTGGGGACCCCCTGGGGACCCCCTGGGGACACCCTGGGGACCCCCTGGGGACACCTTGGGGACACCTTGGGGACCCCCTGGGGACCGAGGGGGGCAAAGGCTGCGACACCCCAGACCCCTCTCAGGGAAGCACGGCCAAACCGGGAGGGACCGAGTGTCCCCGCGGGTGACAAACCTGGTGGCACCGAGTGTCCCCGCGGGTGACAACCCGGGTGGGGTGGCGGGGGGTGACACCGATTTGGGGGGCAGCGCTAAGCGGAACGTTGTTCCCTTGGCCGCGTTTCCAGCCGGGGCTGTTTTCTCTGCCCGGGGCGGTTTCGGGGGCGCGCCGGCGGAAGCGGAAGTGGCCGCGGGCGGGATGGAGGAACCGGAGATGCAGCTGAAGGTGAAGAAAGGTGGGACCGGGAAAGGCGGGACCGGGAATGGCAAAGGCGGGACCGGGAGCCGCGGGGATGGGCTGGGAGAGGCTCCGCAGCGGCGGTTTGGCCGCTGGAGTGTTGTGGTTTGATTGCCGGCCTTTATCCCCCGGGCTGCTGTTGTGAAGAGCCCCCGGGTGTCCCTTGGAGATTTTTGTGGGGGTTTCTGTGGGGATATTGGCGGGGTTTTGTGTGGATTTCTGTGGGGATATTGCCGAGGTTTTGTGTGGATTTCTGTGGGGATATTGCCGAGGTTTTCTGTGGAATTCTGTGGAGATATTTCTGAGGTTTTCTGTGGGTTTCCATGGAGGTATTTCTATGGATTTCTGTGGAGATGTTTCTGTGAATATTCCTTGGATTTCTGTGGACATAGTTCTGAGGTTTCCTGTGGATTTCTGTGGAGCTATTTTCGTTTACTTCCATGGATTTCTATGGAGAGATTGACATGAATTTCCATGGATTTCTGTGGAGAGATTGACATGAATTTCCATGGATTTCTGTGGCTATCTATAGAGACATTTCCATGGATGTCCATGGACTTCTACAGAGACATTTCTGTGGATGTCTTTCCATGGATTTCTCTGGATTTCCATGGATTTCCGCTGAGACATTTCCATGGATTTCCATGGATTTCTGTGGATGTGTTTCCATGGATTTCTACAGATTTCCATGGATTTCTATGAAGATATTTCCATGGGTTTCTATGGAGAGACTTCCATGGATTTCCCTGGATTTCCTGTGAGATATTTCCATGGATTTCCAGAGATATTTCCATGGATTTCCGTGGATTCCTACTGAGATATTTCCATGGATTTCCATGGAGATATTTTCATGGACTTCTATAGAGCTATTTCAATGGATTTCTATGGATGAGTTTCCATGGATTTCCAGGGATTTCTTTGAAGATATTTCCATAGATTTCCACGGAGAGACTTCCAAGGATTTCCACGGAGATATTTCCATGGATTTCCAGAGATATTTCCATGGATTTCCTGGATTTCTGTGGAGATATTTCCATGGATTTCCTGGATTTCTGTGGAGATATTTCCATGGATTTCTGTGGATGTGTTTCCATGGATTTCTCTGGATTTCCACTGAGACATCTCCATGGATTTCCGTGGATTTCCACTGAGATATTTCCATGGATTTGCAGAGATATTTCCATGGATTTCCGTGGATTTCCACTGAGCTATCTCCTGGGCTAGCCCAGCTCCCCCCTTGTCCCGGTTTTCCCTGTTAACTCCCGGTCAGTCCCGGTTCCCCGTTAATTCCCGGTTTCCCCGCTGATTCCCGTTAATTCCCAGTTCCCCGCTGATTCCCGGTCAGTCCCGGTCCCCCGCTGATTCCCGTTAATTCCCGGCTCCCCGCTGATTCCCGTTAATTCCCGGTTCCCCGTTAATTCCTGTTAATTCCCGGTTTCCCCTGTTGATTCCCGGTTCCCCGCTGATTCCCGTTAATTCCCGGTTCCCCGCTGATTCCCGTTAATTCCCGGTTCCCCGTTAATTCCCGGTCAGTCCCGGTTCCCCGTTAATTCCCGTTAATTCCCGGTTCCCCGCTGATTCCCGGTCAGTCCCGGTTTCCCCGCTGACTCCCGGTCAGTCCCGGTTTCCCCGCTGACTCCCGGTCAGTCCCGGTTTCCCCGCTGACTCCCGGTCAGTCCCGGTTTCCCCGCTGACTCCCGGTCAGTCCCGGTTTCCCCGCTGACTCCCGGTCAGCCCACCTCCCCCCTTCTCCCGGTTTCCCCGTTAATTCCCGGTCAGTCCCGGTCCCCCGCTGATTCCCGGTCAGTCCCGGTCCCCCGCTGATTCCCGTTAATTCCCGGTTTCCCCCGCTGATTCCCGGTCAGTCCCGGTTCCCCGTTAACTCCCGGTCAGTCCCTGTTCCCCGCTGACTCCCGTTAATTCCCGGTTTCCCCCGTTGATTCCCGGTTCCCCGCTGATTCCCTCTGATTCCCGGTTTTCCCCGTTAATTCCCGGTCAGTCCCTGTTCCCCGCTGATTCCCGGTCAGTCCCGGTTCCCCGTTAATTCCCGGTTTCCCCGCTGATTCCCGGTTCCCCGTTAACTCCCAGTTCCCCGTTAACTCCCGGTTCCCCGTTAATTCCCGGTTTCCCCGCTGATTCCCGGTTCCCCGCTGATTCCCGGTCACTCCCGGTTCCCCGTTAATTGCCGGTTTCCCCCGTTGATTCCCGGTTCCCCGCTGATTCCCGCTAACTCCCGGTTCCCCGTTAACTCCCGGTCAGTCCCGGTTCCCCGTTAACTCCCGGTTCCCCGTTAATTCCCGGTTCCCCGCTGATTCCAGGTCAGTCCCGGTTCCCCGTTAACTGCCGGTCTCCCCGCTCAGTGGCGGACAAGTTCACGGAGAGCCTGTACGTGCTGGCCAACGAGCCCTCGGTGGCGCTGTTCCGGCTGCAGGAGCACGTGCGCCGCTCCCTGCCCGAGCTGGCCCAGCACAAGGTGCGGATCCCGGGAATTTCGGGAATTTTGGGAATTCCGGGGGCGATCCCAGCACGGCCCTGCCCCCCCCCGCCCCAACCCGGCACCGCTGCTCTGGGAATGGCAGCCCCTTCCTGCCCCAAAATTCCCACGGGAATTCCCTTTTCTGGGTTTAAATCCGTTCCACGGGTCCTGGGATTCCATCCCAAATCCCAAATCCATTCCCTGGGTCCTGGGATTCCATCCCAAATCCCAAATCCATTCCCTGGGTCCTGGAATCCCAAATCCATTCCCTGGGTCCTGGGATTCCATCCCAAATCCATTCTTTGGGTCCTGCAATTCCATGCAAAACCAATCCCTGGGCCCTGGAATTCCCATCCCAAATCCATCCTCTGAGTCCAGGAATTCCATCCCAAATCCCAAATCCATTCCCTGTGCCCTGGGATTCCATCCCAAATCCATTCTTTGGGTCCTGCAATTCCATGCAAAACCAAATGAGCTTTGAACACTTTGAAGGTGAAATTCCTGGAATTCCAGCCTGGAAAGCCCAGCAGGATCCAGGGAATGGATTGGGATTTGGGATGAGCTTTGAACACTTTGAAGGTGAAATTCCTGGAATTCCAGCCTGGAAAGCCCAGCAGGATCCAGGGAATGGATTGGGATTTGGGATGAGCTTTGAACACTTTGAAGGTGAAATTCCTGGAATTCCAGCCTGGAAAGCCCAGCAGGATCCAGGGAATTGGTTGGGATTTGGGATTTCCACTTTGAAAGGGAAATTCCTGAAATTCTGGGCTGGAAAACCCAGGGTATGAGTTGGGATTTGGGCTGAGCTTTGAACACTTTGAAGGTGAAATTCCTGGAATTCCAGCCTGGAAAGCCCAGCAGGATCCAGGGAATTGGTTGGGATTTGGGAACTCCTAGCAGGAATTTCCGGATTTTCTGCAAGTTTTCCCCCCGGTTGAAAACTCCTCAAACCTGAATTTTCCTGGGATTAGAGGGGGAACGAGCGGAATTTGGGAATCCCAGCTCCGCCTCCTCCCCTCTTTTCCCGCTTTTCCCGCTTTTCCCGCTTTTCCCGCTTTTCCAGTGCCATCAAGAGCATGACTGACAGCAGTGTTTACTTCAAGAGCATCGACAGCCTGCTCAGGCATTCCATAGCCATGAAGGAGCAGCTCAACGCCGCCCAGGGCCGCAGGTACCCCCAGAATTCCGGGAAAAACCCCAGGGTTATCCAGGACAGCATTCCCTGACTGTTCCCCCCATTCCCTGAGGGAAAAGAGTGTTGTTTGCTAAGGGAAAAGTGGGAATATATTGAATTTGTTTGTAACGCAAAAAGTGGGAATATATTTAATTTTTGGGAGATTTTTGGGGAGATTCAAAGAATTTGGAGTTTGGGGATGGAAGGATTGGGAGGAGGTACCCCCAAAATCCTGGGAAGAGAATTCCAGGGTTATCCAGGACAGCATTCCCTGACTGTTCCCCCATTCCCTGAGGGAAAAGAGTGTTGTTTGCTAAGGGAAAAATGAGAATAAATTGAATTTTTGGGGAGATTTTTGGGAGATCCGAAGGGTTTGGAGTTTAGGGATGAGGGGATTGTGAACCCTAAAATTCCAGGAAGAGAATTCCAGGATTATCCAGGACAGCATTCCCTGATTTTTCCCCCCATTATTCCCCACCCCAAATCTCCTTTCTCCCACCCCAAATCTTCTTTTTCCCATCCCAAATCTGTTCCTGGTCACCCCAGACCCCCTTCCTGCCCCCCCCAACTTGATTTCCCCCCCCCCAAAGTTGATTTCCCCCACCCCAAACTTGATTTTCCCCCACCCCAAAGTTGATTTCCCCAACCCCAAAGTTGATTTTCTCCATCCCAAACTTGATTTTTTCCACCCCAAACTTGATTTTTTCCACCCCAAACTTGATTTTTTCCACCCCAAAGTTGATTTCCCCCACCCCACCCCCCATCTGTGCCGGTGCTGAGGATGAGGATGGAGCAGGGAGGAAGGAGAAGGGAAATCAGCCAGGATCTGTTGGAAAAGTGGAATTCTGCTGGTGAAAATCCCAATTTCTGCCCCCCATCCCCATTTCCCACAGCTGGGATGGATTTGGGTTCTCCAAGCAGGCAGCACTGGGATTTTGGAGGAATTTTCCACAAAAAAAAAACCCCAAAACTGTGAAAAACCAGCAACAACTCCTCCCCCAGAGCTGCAAATCCCAGGAAACTCCGGGGAAAATCCCGAATTTCCCTCACACCAGCGTGGAGTCCTTGGTGGCTCTGTGGGACATCACATTCCTCATTCCCCTGGCGATGACATTCCAAGGTTTTCCCTGCTCCTGGAGCAGCCCCGAATCCAGGAGTGTCCTGTGAGTGCGGGACCAGTCCTGGGATGGGGGTTCCCTGGGGAATTCCTTGCTCCTGGACAATTCCCGCTGGGATTCCTTGCTCCTGGACAATTCCTGATGGAATTCTTTGCTCCTGGACAATTCCTGATGGAATTCCTTGCTCCTGGACAATTCCTGCTGGAATTCTTTGCTCCTGGACAATTCCCACTGGGATTCCCTGGGGAATTCCTTGCTCCTGGACAATTCCTGCTGGAATTCCTTGCTCCTGGACAATTCCTGATGGAATTCCTTGCTCCTGGACAATTCCCGATGGGATTCCCTGGGGAATTCCTTGCTCCTGGACAATTCCTGATGGAATTCCTTGCTCCTGGACAATTCCCGATGGGATTCCCTGGGGAATTCCTTGCTCCTGGACAATTCCTGCTGGGATTCTTTGCTCCTGGACCAGTCCTGGGATTCCCTGGGGAATTCTTTGCTCCTGGACCAGTCCTGGGATTCCCTGGGGAATTCTTTGCTCCTGGACAATTCCTGATAGAATTCCCTGGGGAATTCCTTGTTCCTGGACAATTCCTGGGATTCTTTGCTCCTGGACCAGTCCTGGGATTCCCTGGGGAATTCTTTGCTCCTGGACAATTCCCACTGGGATTCCCTGTGGAATTCTTTGCTCCTGGAGCTCAGGTTGCTGCTGGAAGCCGAGCCCGGCTGGGATTTGCCCTCCAGGAAAGGTGGGAAGGAGAATTCCCGGTGGATTTCGGGGCGGGGCCGGGCAGGAGCCGCGTTCCTGAGGTCGCTGCTGTCGCCGGGCTGGGCGGAGTCGTTCTCGTACAGGGCTTGGGAAGGCTCCGAGCCTTGGGAAATCTGGGAAATTTGGGAAGCACGGAGCAGCACGTGGAGCAGGGAGATGAGCAGGACGAGAATTCCAGAGGTGAGGATGCAGGCGCTGGCAATTCCAGCCTCCAGCTCGAACAGCAGCAGCATGAAAAGGGCCAGAGCTGCAGGGGGAGCAGAGCACAGGGCACCCTGAGGGGTGGAAAGCATGGCTTTGGAAAATCCTGGAATGGCTGAGGCTGGAAAAGGGCTCAGGGAGAGCTCAGGAGACCCTGGGAAAGAGCTCAGGAGCCTGGAGGAAAAAGGGATGGATTTGGAAATTCCTGGAATGGTTGAGGCTGGAGAAGAGCTCAGGAGCCAGGAGTAAAAAGGGATGGGTTTGGAAATTCATGGAATGGTTGAGGCTGGAAAAGAGCTCAGGAACAGCTCAGGAGCCCCTGGAAAAGAGCTCAGGGACAGGCTTAGGAGACTGGAAAAGAGCTCAGGAGCCAGGAGGAAAAAGGGATGGCTTTGGGAAAATCCTGGAGTGGTTGAGGCTGGAGAAGAGCTCAGGAGCCAGGAGTAAAAAGGGATGGCTTTGGAAATTCATGGAATGATTGAGGCTGGAAAAGAGCTCAGGAACAGCTCAGGAGCCCCTGGAAAAGAGCTCAGGGACAGGCTTAGGAGACTGGAAAAGAGCTCAGGAGCCTGGAATAAAAAGGGATGGATTTGGAAATTCCTGGAATGGTTGAGGCTGGAGAAGAGCTCCAAGTCCAAGCTGTGGCTGAGCCCCTCTGGGTGCCCCTGCCCACCCAGGGACCCCTGGGTCCATCCAGGGATGGGGACCCCAAACCTCCCTGGGCACTTCCAAGGCCTGGCCGCCCTTTCCAGGAGGAAATTCCTGCTGCTGTCCCACCTGGAGCTCCCTGGGGCTGTCCCCTCCTGTCCTGGTGTCCCCTGGGACCCTCCTGGCTGTCCCTTCCTGCTGGGGACTTGTGGGGATTGGGAATGTCCCCCTGATCCTGCTTTTCTCCAGGCTGGGCCCCTTCCCAGCCCCCTCAGGAATTCTCCAACCCCCTCAGGAATTCTCCAATCCCCTCAGGAATTCTCCAGCCCCCTCAGGAATTCTCCAGCCCCTTCCCAGCCCCCTCAGGAATTCTCCAGCCCCCTCAGGAATTCTCCAGCTCCATTCCCATCTCTGGACCCCTCCAGCCCCTACAAAATTCCAGCCTGGGCCTCTGGAATGGGATTTTCACACTGTGGGAAGGAGCTGGTGGTGCCATTTGTGAACCAAAGCAGAAACCAGTGCAGGGCTGGGCTGGGAGCACTGGGAATACTGGGGGACACTTGCCTGTGAGGTAGAGGCAGAGCCCGCAGCAGAAGAGGCCGATGGCCACGTGCCGGACGCTCCGGCTGTCCAGGAGGAACCAGTCTGCCCTGGAAAAGGGGGAAAAGAGGGAAAAGAACCTCTGGAAGGGCTCCTGGCAGGGAAAACAGCTCTGGGCAGGCTCCAGTCCTGATCTGAGCCCAGGAAAAGTCTCAGGGATGAGGAACACAGAGCTGATGCTGGTCCTGATACGAGCTCAGGAAAAAAATCTGGAGTGAGGAGCTCAGAATTGATCCTGGTCTGAGCCCAGGAAAAATCTGGAGTGAGGAATTCAGGACTGATCGTGATCTGAGCCCAGGAAAAATCTGGAGTGAGGAATTCAGGACTGATCCTGGTCTGAGCCCAGGAGAAAAATCTGGAGTGAGGAATTCAGGACTGATCCTGGTCTGAGCCCAGGAAAAATCTCAGGGATGAGGAACTCAGAACTGATTGTGATCTGAGCCCAGGGAAAAAATCTGGAGTGAGGAACCCCAAACTGATCCTGGTCCTGGTCCTGATCTGAGCCCAGGAAATTTCTGGGGCTGAGGAACCCCAAACTGATCCTGGCCCTGATCTGACCAGGAAATCCCTGGAGTGAGGAGCTCAGGACTGCTCCTGGCCCTGATCTGAGCCCAGGAAAAGTCTGGAGGGAAGAACTCAGAACTGATCCTGATCTGAGCCCAGGAAATCCCTGGAGTGAGGAGCTCAGGACTGCTCCTGGCCCTGATCTGAGCCCAGGAAAAGTCTGGAGGGAAGAACTCAGAACTGATCCTGATCTGAGCCCAGGAAATCCCTGGAGTGAGGAGCTCAGGACTGCTCCTGGCTCTGATCTGAGCCCAGGAAAAGTCTGGAGCCAGCACAGCTCGGGGACATCACCGCCACCTCCTGGCCATGGCCCAAATCCCGCTTTTCCTCCCCGCTCTGCGCGGAGTGCAGCTGGGGAAACTGAGGCACGGGGGAGGGATCTGCTGGAGATTCCCTGGGAAAGGAATCCTCGCAGCGGGGAGAGGCGCAGAAATCCTCCTGAAATTCAAATTATTGGGGAAGAGCCTCCCCACGCTTTGCTCTGGGAGGTTTTGGGAATGCAATTTTTCACCTGTGACCACACAATTCCCAAATTTCAACTTCACAGCTCCCAAAAGGAGCATTTACAGCCCAAAATCCAGGCCGGGATCACGGGAAAATTCACAGCTCGTGGTGGAGGGGAATTTTTTGTTGTTAACTTCCCAGCTCCCACAAAAAGCCGAGTTTGTTGTGGGAATTTTTTGTGTTTTTAGGGAAATATTTTCGCTCTCCTCCGTTAATGAAGCGTTGGAAGAGGCTGAGGAGGCGCTGCTGGAATTTCTCCAGCCCGGTGCTCCGTGCAGAGCCGGGACTGATTGGATTCTCTAATTAGGGACACAAAGTAGCCGTGGAAACGTCGTCATTCCCTTTCAGTGAGTTTTGACTGAAGTCACAGAGGTCCCAAAATTGCGTGAGCCACCCCACCAAGTCCAGTTGTCACCAAAACCCTTTAAAAATCAGATTATCCCCGAGCTGTTTTTTAGTTTTAACCCGGGTGCGGGGCCAGGAGCCCCCCCAGCCCGTTCCAGATCCATGGAAAAAATAAAAGGAATTTCTTTGGGAATAACTCTGCAGGTGTAAAAAGTGCTGGTAATGATTAAATCAACACATAGCTGGGGTTAATGACCCAGCCCTGGGGACATTTTGGTGGCCACCCCAGCAGTGACAACCCCTGGGGGTTGAGGTGACCCCTGGAACTCCCCCCCAAAACACGCTGGGAGTTTCACATCATGGAAATTCAACCCCCTGGATTGTGCAGCCGGGTCTAAACTTGCTGGTCCCAATTCCTAGAGTCTCTGAAACTCAAATTAAAGAGCTCAGTTCCAGCCCTGGGCTTCACGGAGAGGAATTTGGGGCATTTTCCACCGATTGCTCCCCACAACCCCCGTTCGGAGGGGACCCAGCAAATCCTCACGGGGATTTTGGGGCACCAGAGGAGCTGGCACCCCGAACCCCTCATTCCCCGATCCTGCCGCATCCTCCGGCCCTTCCCTCCTGACCGGCCCCTCTGAGCATCCCCCAGACCCCTCTGAGCATCCTCCTCGAGCCCCGGTCCCCGCCTCTCCCAAGCCCCCCCAGTCCCGGTCCCCGCCTCTCCCGAGCATCCCCGGTCCCCACGAGCCCCAGTCCCGCCTCTCCCGACCCCCTATCCCCCGGCCCCTCCGGGCATCCCCCAGACCCCCCCGGGCATCCCCGGACCCCTCCGAGCATCCCCAGACCCCTCTGAGCATCCCCCAGACCCTCCAAGCATTCCCGGTCCCTCCAGCCCCGGTTCCCCTGGCCCCCTCCGAGCATCCCCGCCTCTCCCGAGCCCCTCGAGCGCCGGTCCCCGCCTCTCCCGAGCCCCCCGGTCCCTCCAGCCCCGGTCCCTGCCTCTCCCGAGCATCCCCGAGCCCCTCGAGCGCCGGTCCCCGCCTCTCCCGAGCCCCCCCGCCGCTCCAGCCCCGGTTCCCCGGTGCTCTCACCGCTCGGGCCCGGGCTGCCCCCGGCACAGCTCGGTGCTGCAGTAGCCGTGCAGGAGGCAGAGCAGGAGGCAGCTCACGTTGAGCACCAGGCAGAGCGCGGCCAGCACGGCCGATACCGGCAGCAGAGCGGCGGCCACCGGCTCCGGGAGCGCCCCGCGACCGCCACCGGGAGCGGCCCGGCCCGACGGGAGCTGGAAGATGAGGCTGGAGGAGAGCAGGGCCATGGCAGCGGACAAGGTCCCGAAGAGCAGCAGCACCGTCAGGGCTCGCTGCGGGTACGCGGAGGGCATGGCGGGGCCGGTACCGGCACCGGGAACCGGGGGAACCGGGGGTGCCGAAGGTGCTCCCCGACTCCTCGGTGCCGCCGCTGCGGGAGCCCGGATGGAGAATGGGAGCGGGGAATGGGAACCGGGAACGGGCACCGAGCCGGGAGCGCCTCCGTTCCGCGGCGTCCGCCGGGGCGGGCCCGTCCTGCCTCCGGTCCTGCCTCCGGTCCGGGACCCTCCCGGGCCGGCTCCGCCCCCGGTGGGGCCCCGGGAGCCTCCCGAGGGCGGAGGGAGGAGCGGGGGTGGGGACTGAGGAGGGACGGACGGACGGACAGACGGCCACGGAGCCGCTTCCCGCATTCCCAGCGCTGCCGTTCCCTGGGAAAACCCCGGGATTGACCCCCCCGGTGTGGGACGAGGGCACCGCGATCCCCGCATCCCCCGGGAGAGGCACCTTTGGCCTCCACCTGCGCCGGGACTGTCCCCTGCAGCCCCCGGGGAGCTCCCGAAACGTTCCCAGTCCCGGCAGGCTGAGAAAAGACCCCCGGGCCGGCCCCTGGGACCCCCGCGAGTTTCCCATGTGCTATGAATAGCCTGGGAAGCGGAATCCCAGCGCTCCCGTGGGATCGGCGCCTTCCCCTGGGGCTGGGGGAGGATTCAAACAGGATTAACCCCGGGAAATTCACCCCCAGGGTCGCCTGGCACCTTGGGAAAGGCCCCGCGCTTCCTGGCGCGGGGACACGAGGGGACACGAGGGGACACATCGGGGTCCCGCTGGCACCGGGCGCCACCACTGAGCGTCCCGATCCTGGTGCCAGCAGCCGTGCCCGGGCCGGGCTGTGGGATCCGGACCGAGCCGATCCTTCTGTCCGCAGGAGGAGCAGCGCTGGCTGTCCCTTGCTGTCCCTTGCTGTCCCCGCCATCCCTTTCTGTCCGTTTGGACCGAGCCGATCCTTCTGTCCGCAGGAGGAGCAGCGCTGGCTGTCCCTGCTGTCCCTGCTGTTCCTTGCTGTCTCTGCTGTCCCTTGCTGTCCCTTTCTGTCCCTTGCTGATCCCGCTGTCCCTGCCATCCCTTTCTGTCCCTTCTGTCCCCTTCTGTCCCTTCTGTCCCTGCTGTCCCGGTTGTCCCTGCTATCCCTTTCTGTCCCTGCCATTCCTTTCTGTCCCTTTCTGTCCCTTGCTTTTCCTGCCATCCCTTTCTGTCCCTTGCTGTCCCTTGCTGTCCCTTGCTTTTCCTGCCCTCCCTTGCTGTCCCTGCTGTCCCTGCTATCCCTTTCTGTCCCTGCTGTCCCTTTCTGTCCCTTGCTGATCCCGCTGTCCCTGCCATCCCTTTCTGTCCCTTGCAGTCCCTTGCTGTCCCTGCCATTCTTTTCTGTCCCTACTGTCCCTTTCTGTCCCTTGCTGTCCCTGCTGTCCCTCCCGTCCCGCGTGGGTGGTTCCCGCTGCCACCCTGGGCTCCGGCCGGAGGACCCGGGGCTATTTTGAAGTCCCGCCGTGTTGGCCTTGGCAGCAGCAGGAGTTTTTGGCTCCAGGCTCGTTTCCAGCATTTTTGGAAAGGGGGGGGAGGAGGTGGGGGTGGCAGTCCCTGGGACTCGGCCCAAAGTCCCCAAACCAGCTCCTGGTGACGGCATCTCTGTCCCTTTGCCGTGTCCTGGGCAGGGACAGAGCTCAGCCGTGTCCTCTGCTGGTGTCCCTTGGGGTGCCGCTCTCATCCCAGGGCATCTGCACCCCAGGCTCCCCAAAATCCCGGGATTTTGGGGCAGGAAGATCCTCAAGAGGGAGCTCAAAGCTTTGGAGCCGGGAAGGAGCAGCCGGGCACCCCCTGAGCCGGGGGGACCGCGGGGTCCCTGTCCCCAAAAACGGCTCTGCCTGGCACGGCTGGGAGTGGCCCTGACCCGGGCCAGACCCTGGGCAGTCCGAGGGGACAGGGCAGGACAGGACAGGGATGTCCCACATCCAAAAAGCCACCCCGAGTGTCCCCAAAGTGTCCCAGGGCTGGATGTGTCACCTCAGACTCTGCCGGCTCTTCTGTTCTCCCCCCAGCCGCTCCTCAGGATCAATTAATATTACTGGCGAGGCTAATTAACACTCTGCTAATTGCACTCTGTAAATCGCCAGCTTTAAAAGCAGCTCGGAGGAAGATGTCACGTCCTGAAAGCCTCAGAGCCTCATCCAGAAACTCCTCGTTTCTCCAGGATTTCCTCCTGATCTCTCCAGGATTGGGAGTGGGGACAGGACCCCGAGGATGTCCAGGGGGCAAAAATGTCCCTGATGTGGGGCTGGGTGGGATCTGATTCCCTGATTTCCTTGAATTCCTTGAATTCCCTGAATTCCTTGAATTCCCTGATTCCCCTGATATTTCCTGATTCCCTTGATATTCCCCTTATTCCCCTGATTCCCTGATTTCTGTGATTCCCTGAATTCCCTGATATTCCCTGATTTCCCCTAATTCCCCTGGTACTCCCTGAATTCCCTGATATTCCCTGATTCCCCTGATTCCCTGATATTCCCTGAATTCCCCTGATATTCCCTGAATTCCCTGATTCCCCTGATATTCCCTGATTCCCTGATATTCCCTGATTCCCTGATTCCCCTGATATTCCCTGATTCCCCTGATATTCCCTGATTTCCCTGATATTCCCTGAATTCCCCTTTTCCCACCTGCAGCGCCCCGAACCCCCGACCCCGCCCCTTTCCCTCGCCCCGCCCCTCACCCACGCGGGGGCGTGTCCATGCAAATAAACACCGGCCGCTAGCCAATGGCTGACCAGCCCGGCTGCTGTATGCAAATCTTACGGCGGGGTGGGCGGGGCTATGCAAATGTCAGCGGCGCTGCTCGGCCAGGCGGCGGCAGCGCGCGCTCCGGGGACACGAACGGGACCGGCACCGACAGCGACACCGGCACCGACAGCGACACCGGGACCGACAGCGACACCGGCACCAGCACCGGCACCAGCACCGGCACCAGCACCGGCACCAGCACCGGGGCCTCCGCCGCCCCGCTGCGCTGCCGGGAGCGCGCGGAGCCGCCAGCAGGACGCGCCGCTGCCCAGGTGCGTGTCCCGCGGGGGGCACCGGGGGTCCCGCGCTCCGCTGTCGCCGGCACCGAGCCGAGGGGACGGTGACACACGACAGCACCGCTGTCTACCCCGTTTTTCCTCCACCGCGGCTCCGTCCCCGTGCCGGCGGCCGCACCGTCGGGGCGCACGGGCAGCGGGAGCGGGGCCGGCCCGGGGAGGGGCCGGTGCGGCCGGGCCGGCGCCCGGCGGGCTGCTCTGGGCACGGCGGAGCCCCGGCCCCCGCCCCGCCGTCTCGGGATGGCGGGCTATAAAAAGCCTGTGGTTTGCGCCGAGCTCGGGGCGGTTATTTTTACTCGTGTCTGCGCAGGGAGGAACGCCCGGGTTTAACCCAAAAGTGCAGCCTGGGTGGCAGCCGCCCTGCCCCGGCCCCGCCGCCACCTCCCCGCCACCCCCGGGGCCACCGGCGCCTCTGGGGGCTGCGGCGGAGCTCAGGGCGCTGGGGGAAACTGAGGCACGGCACCGGCGGGCTGTTGGCTCGGTGTGGTTGTAGTGACAGCGGTGACGGCGAGCCTGGTCACCGCCGATGGCACTGTCACCTCGCTGGGGTGGCACAGCGGCCTGGCTGCTCCCGGCACGTGCTGGTGGCAGCCCGGTTATGGGACACGGCCACGACTCCTGCCAGGGGCATCTCCAGGGTGGTGGCACCTCCGTGTGGCATCTCCAGGGTGGTGGCATGTCCATGTGGCACCTCCAGAGTGTCCCAGTGCACCTGGGTCCCCCTGGCACCCGTGGAGAGCCAGGTGGATCCTCTGCCAAATCCTCCTGCCCAGCACAGCCACTGCCAGCATGTCCCTGTCCCTGTCCCTGTTCCTGTCCCCGTCCCTGTCCCCATCCTCGGGGTTTTTTTTACTCTTTTAATGAGAAAAACTCTCCCAGCGCTGCCAGCTCTGGAGTTTCCCAGGGAATGACTTGCTGTGGAAGCTCGGGATGGGCAGGAAAGCGGGGTTGGGCCCACGGGCTGTGCCCCGGGGGACCCCCACGGGCATCCCTGGGGGCACGGCTGGGGCAGGAGCGTGGGTGCCCATCCGGCCAGCCCGGCCCTGGCGCTGTGCCACGGCCCCGCTGCCAGCCGGACGCGTCACGGTGACGTCCGGGAGCTCTGGGGAAGGAGGGATGTGCGTGCAGGCCTCAGGTCTGCTTTAGGATCCCAAACCTTCCCAAGCCCAGGGCACCCACCACATCCCAAAAAAGCGGATTTGGGAAATTTTGGGAAACTTTTGGGAGGTTTCGGTGCGAGGGGAGAGGGATCCTGCCAGCGGTGAGGGCGCTGCAAAGCCTGGCACACTGCTGTGGGGGCACCCAGAAGCATTTGGGGGGAAATCAGGACAATTTACACCCCTTGAATTTCATTCCGCTTCCCAAAAATCCCCGCAGGATTGTCAGGAGCAAACCAGGTGTGTGTGCCAAAGCCGCGGGGCCAGCCCTGAGTGTCCCAAACACAATTTGGGGACCACCCCCCAAATTAACCCCAGCCCAATCCTGTGGCAATTGCGAGTTCCTCCCCTGGATTTGGCACCCTGGGCAGGAGAAGGGTCTCTGTGTCCATCCATCCTCCCGAGGGCCGGGAGCTGCCTCGTTTTTGGGGCCTTTTCAATCCTTCCTCCTTCCTCACACTCATTTTGGAACCGAAAATCCTCCGCCCGTCGGCACCGGGCCGTGGCAGCGCCCGGGACTTTCGCTCTGTGTCACCCCCGGGGTGACAGTGACGGTGACAGCGGGGCTGGAGGGTGGCAGTGTCCCCCAGAGCCCCAAAACCTGAGGGGTTTTATGGGTGCTGGGTATTTGGGAAGCAGGGGATGGGGTTTGGGGAGTTCGTGGGGGTCCCAAAAACCCCTCAGAGCCGCATCCCCACCTTTGCCCTGTTTCCCAGCTGGCTCCTCCCAGCTCCCAGTCCCCACCCAGCGCGGCCAGCCCCGTGCTGGTTTGTACTGGTCACTTGTTTAAACAACCTATAAAAAGCAAGAGGCACAAACTCCGTGCTCAACTTTGACTTTTCCCTGCGCTGGGCTCGGGATGCTGCTCACACCAGCTCAGCCCTTCCCAGGGGATCCCAACCACGGGGCCAGGGCTGGAATTGTCCCTCTGGGCCCAGCCCTCTGTGTCTGGTGCTCCTAAAATCCCCATTTCAAACCCCGTTTCAAACCCCCTTTTAAAATCCCCATGTCAAACCCCCATTTCAAACCCAATTTCCCATTTCAAACCCTCATTTCAAACCCCCTTTTCGAATCCCCATTTCAAACCCTCTTTTCAAAACCCCATTTCAAACTCCCATTTTAAATCCCCATATCAAACCCCCATTTTAAACCCCCCTTTTAAACCCTCATTTTAAATCCCCATTTCAAACCCCCATTTAAAACCACCATTTCAAACCCTGATTTCAAACCTCATTTCAAACCCCATTTTAAATTCCCATTTCAAACCCCATTTCAACCCCCCATTTCAAACCCCTATTTTAAACCCCCATTTAAAATCCCCTTTTCAAACCCTCATTTCAAACCCCATTTCAGACCCCCATTCCCAGCCCCGCTGCCCTCCTGGTCCCATCATCATCCTCTCCCTCCTGTGGGATTTTTCTACTCCTGGCTCAGATTTTCCCCTCCTTTGGGATGGAAACTCTTTCTCCCTGCTGTAATTGTGTTTTTTCCTCCACCAAAACGCTTTTTGGGAGCTGCTAAACGCCACAGGCGGCTCTTTGAGCACCAATTCCTCCCCCAGTCACCCCCAGCTCTCAGATTTGCAGCAAAACCCCCATAATTTGGTAAAAAACCCCTTTCCTGCTCTTTCTGCTCCCCATGGGAGGATGAATCCCTGGGGAGCTCCCAGACCCTGACTCGGGGGTGTTTTAGGGGAGCGCTCAGACCCTGGGGCAGCTTTTTCCTTTAATGCCCCAGCTGCCTGGATTTTAGGGTAAATCCGGTGGATTTGGGATTTCTGGGACCATCCAGGGGTGTGAAGGTGCTGGAGGCCCCGTTGTGGTGCTGGGGATCCCACAGTGGCTCACGGGAAAAACACGCGGCTCTCTCGGGGTTCGTTTGGTGTCAGCTCACTAATTAGGAGCTGGAAATTAGGAATTTACACCCCTGGCACTGTGCAAATGCCCCCTAAAGGCACAGAGGGTGCGGGGGGTTGGTTATAAACCCCATCCCGGCACGGGGGGTCGGGGTGAGGCCGCTGGGGGTGCTGGGAATGGTTGGGATGAGGTGGGAGTGATCCCAATCCCAACCCCAATCCCAACCCTCATCCTGATCCCAACACCGTTCTCAATCCCAAACCTAATCCCAACCCCAAACTCCATCCCAATTCCAATCCCTATCCCTACCCCAACCCCAATCCCAACCCTCATCCTGATCCCAACACCGTTCTCAATCCCAAACCTAATCCCAACCCCAAACTCCATCCCAATTCCAATCCCTATCCCTACCCCAACCCCAATCCCAACCACAATCCCAACCCCAACCCCAACCCTGATCCTGATCCCAATCCCAACCCCAACCCTGATCCCGATCCCAACCCCAATCCCAACCCCAATCCCAACTCCAACCCTGATCCCGATCTCAACCCCAATCCCAACTCCAACCCTGATCCCGATCTCAACCCCAATCCCAACTCCAACCCTGATCCCGATCTCAACCCCAATCCCAACTCCAACCCTGATCCCGATCTCAACCCCAATCCCAACTCCAACCCTGATCCCGATCTCAACCCCAATCCCAACTCCAACCCTGATCCCGATCTCAACCCCAATCCCAACTCCAACCCTGATCCCGATCTCAACCCCAATCCCAACTCCAACCCTGATCCCGATCTCAACCCCAATCCCAACTCCAACCCTGATCCCGATCCCAACCCCAATCCCAACCCCGACCCCGATCCCAATCCCAATTCCAATCCCAACCCCATCCCTGATCCTGATCCCAATCCCAACTCCAATCCCAATCCCAACCCCAACCCCAATCTCAAACCCAATCCCAACTCAAACCCTGATCCTGATCCCAATCCCGACCCCAATCCCAATCCCAATCCCAATCCCAGCCCAAATCCCGGTGTGTGTGAGCACCCATGAGAGGCAGCGGAGCCTGACGGGTGCCAGGAGCACCGGAGGGAAAAATCTCCAGGCTGGGAACTTTGGAATCTCCAGAGCCTTGGATTTGTTGAGGTCCCGGTGCTCAGGGGACATCCCCGTGGTGGGGACAATGCCAGGAGGGGCTCTGGGATCCAGGAGCCCTCTCTGAGTGCAGGTTCCTCCCAGGAATCGGGTTCCACCCTGCCCTGGAGGAGCCACCTGGCTGCAGGTGACAATGCCCATGATGCCCCTGATGGCTTTATCCCAGTTAAAACCCAGAGGGAAAATCTGGACCCCCTGGCACCCTGCACCCCCTGGAGGGACAGGGATACGACTCTGCTTCCTCTGGACGCCCTCCCCCACCTTCCAGGACCTTCTCAGCATCATCCCATGGGTGTTTGCACCTGCCAGGACCCCTTTGGAATCACCCTGTGGGTTCTGGAACCTTCCAGGTCCCCCTGGGCATCACCCCGTGGGGCACTGAGGTACCACAGCATCCAAGGACCTGTGAGGGATTGTCCCCAAGCAAATCCTTGGAGTTATTTCATGTGCCTGCTGAGGTGGGAGACACAGCCATCCATCCATGGATCCATGGATCCATCCATCTGTCCAATCCATCCATCCATCCATCCATCCAGTCCTATGTCCATCCATCATCCATCCATCCATCCATCCATCCAGTCCTATCATCCATCCATCCATCCATCCATCCATCCATCATCCATCCATCCAGTCCTGTGTCCATCCATCATCCATCCATCCATCCATCCATCCATCCATCCATCCTCCATCCATCCATCCATCCATCCATCCATGGATCCATCCATCCATCCATCATCCATCCATCCCTGTGTCCATCCCCCAATCCTCCCCCCAGGCTGAGGCTGTGCAGGGACACGGGGGGGTCACAGCTGGGCCAGCACCCCCTACCCCAAACGTGCCAACCCCAAGGTCCAGCCCCAAACTGCCACCCCCAAAAGGACCCACGGGGACCTGGGGGTGTCCCCAGGGAGCGCCGCAGGTGTCGGAGCCGGGCGGAGCAAGGAGAACGCCCCAGGGATGGTGGGAACGGGAGAACCTCGCTTTTTCCACCAGGGAATTCTCGGCCCTTTCCGGCGGGGCCGGGGTGGTCTGGGCACCCCCTGGACCTCGGGGGGGCGGGCACGGGGGGGGTCGTGCGTGGGCCTGGGGACACAGGGTGGCAGCGGGGCCGTGGGAACGGCAGCGCAATTTCCTTCCATAAATTAAAATTAGTTTTGATCAGCTAAAAATAGCAGCGAGCACGATGGTAAAATGGCAACGTGCTCGAGAGGGGGAAGCGGGACACGCCGGGGGCATCAGGGGACCCAAAGGTCCCCAACTGCACCCCTGGCATCCGGCCTGGCATTGAGGGGGGGCTGCTGGCCGAGCTGGGGGGTCCCAAAGTTGTCCCCAACACGGAGCTGCCACCCCTCTTCTCCCCAGCCCCACTCCTGCCCCGTAGCTGTGGTTTGGGGACAGCAGGGACAGAGCCAGGCCGGGTCTGTCCCCACATCAGGGTGGGCACGAGGGACCCGTTGGGGACATCTCGGTGCCGCCCATGGTTCTGCCCCGCTGGTGGCATTTAGGGATTTTGGGGTGGCTCTTGCTGTGGGGGTGGCAGAAGAGCATTAATTGGGGGGGAGGTGACAGCAGGGGGGTGTCCCAGCGCTGTGCCAGGCTCGGGGGGTGCTGGCACCCCGCAGGCAGGGTGGCACGGGGGGTCACCAGCCCCGTGTCCCTGCTCTGAGCTGGCTCACGCGGCCGCAGGGCTGGGTGGGTGGTTTCGCTTTGCTGTCTCCTCGTGCAGCCACTTCCTGGCCTGCGGAGGTCAAATTTAGTCTGCTGGAGCTTAAAAAAAAAAAAAAAATTTAAAAAAAGTCCCCAAATTTGAAGCTAAAACCAACGCTCCTTTTGTTTGAGGGACCCTCCCCGCCGCCAGCCCGGCCCCCTTTGAAACGCCCTCCCCATCCCACGGAGCCACCGGGAGCAGCTTCGGGAGCAGCCTCGGAGCAAACCCCGGGGTTTGGGGTGAGAACTCTGCTCCCAAAACCCCGCTGAAGCATTTGGGATCTCAGCCGACACCCAAAGGTGCTCAGGGAGTGATGGATTGGGGTGGCTGAGCAAGGCCAAGGGGATTTTCTCTCCTCTAACTCAGCAGAATTTCCCAATTTCCCCTCATTTTCCACTTGGCCACCATCTTCACGGAAGAAGAAATGACCAAACTTCCTCCGAAAATCGATTTTTTTTCACAGCCAAACTTATTTTTGGCGGCGCTGGGGCGGACTCTGGCTGGGGACAGCCCCGAGGGCTGCGGGGCTCAGGCATTTCTCGCTCTCTTCCAGCCCCAAACCCAGCGGAGGAGGCGAAAATGGGCCGAAAAAAAATCCAGATCAGCCGGATTTTGGACCAGCGGAACCGGCAGGTAGGGGTGAGGTGGGATCAGGGAGGATGGGAGGCAAAACCACCTAGAGAGGAGCAATTTTGGGAGAACTTGGCGCCGTTTTTTGGGGAGTTTCACCCCCGGGTTCCCCCTCAGGTGACCTTCACCAAGCGGAAATTCGGGCTGATGAAGAAGGCGTACGAGCTGAGCGTGCTGTGCGACTGCGAGATCGCCCTGATCATCTTCAACAGCACCAACCGCCTGTTCCAGTACGCCAGCACCGACATGGACAAGGTGCTGCTCAAGTACACCGAGTACAGCGAGCCCCACGAGAGCCGCACCAACTCCGACATCCTCGAGGTAGCGGCCGGGGGCGGCCCCCGGGGCCCCGCGGTGGCCGCAGGGACCCGCTCATTGTCACCTCCCCGCAGACGCTGAAGCGCAAAGGGTTGGGGCTGGAGAGCCACGAGCTGGAGCTGGAGGAGGGGCCGGAGCCGCCCGGGGACAAGGGCAGGAGGATCGGGGAGGGCGTGGATCTGTCGCTGGCGCGGCCCAGGTTTTATGTGAGTCGCTGGTGGCACGTGGAGGGTCCCCAAGGGTCCTGTCCTTGGGTTCGGATTCATCCTGAAGGAGCCCCAGGGTCCCCAAGGGTCCTGTCCTTGGGATCTGATTCATCCCGAAGGGCCCCCAGGGTCCCCAAGGGTCCTGTCCCCTCCCTGTCCTTGGGTTCTGGTCTGTCCTGAAGGGGCCCCAGGGTCCCAAGGGTCCTGTGCCCTCCCTGTCCTTGGGTTCTGGTTCATCTTGAAGGGCCCCCAGGGTCCCCAAGGGTCCTGTCCTTGGGATCTGGTTCATCCCGAAGGGCCCCCAGGGTCCCCAAGGGGCCTGTCCCCTCCCTGTCCTTGGGTTCTGGTCTGTCCTGAAGGGTCCCCAGGGTCCCAAGGGTCCTGTGCCCTCCCTGTCCTTGGGTTCTGATTCATCTTGAAGGGTCCCCAAGGGTCCTGTCCTTGGGTTCTGGTCTGTCCTGAAGGGTCCCCAGGGTCCCCAAGGGTCCTGTCCTTGGGCTCTGGTCTGTCCTGCAGGGTCCCCAGGGTCCCCAAGGGTCCTGTCCTTGGGCTCTGGTCTGTCCTGCAGGGTCCCCAGGGTCCCCAAGGGTCCTGTCCTTGGGCTCTGGTCTGTCCTGCAGGGTCCCCAGGGTCCCCAAGGGTCCTGTCCTTGGGCTCTGGTCTGTCCTGCAGGGTCCCCAGGGTCCCCAAGGGTCCTGTCCTTGGGCTCTGGTCTGTCCTGCAGGGTCCCCAGGGTCCCCAAGGGTCCTGTCCTTGGGCTCTGGTCTGTCCTGCAGGGTCCCCAGGGTCCCCAAGGGTCCTGTCCTTGGGCTCTGGTCTGTCCTGCAGGGTCCCCAGGGTCCCCAAGGGTCCTGTCCCCTCCCTGTCCTTGGGTTCTGGTTCATCTTGAAGGGTCCCCAAAGGGTCCTGTCCTTGGGTTCTGATTCATCTTGAAGGGTCCCCAAGGGTCCTGTCCTTGGGCTCTGGTCTGTCCTGCAGGGTCCCCAAGGTCCCCAGGGGTCCTGTCCCCTCCCTGTCCTTGGGTTCTGGTCTGTCCTGCAGGGTCCCCAGGGTCCCCAGGGGTCCTGTCCCCTCCCTGTCCTTGGGTTCTGGTCTGTCCTGCAGGGTCCCCAGGGTCCCCAAGTGTCCTGTCCCCTCCCTGTTCTTGGGTTCTGGTTCATCTTGAGGGTCCCTACGTCCTTCTTGACCCCTGGTTTGTCTTGAAGGGTCCCTGAGGTTCCCCAAGGGTCCCGAGGGTCCCTGTCCCTGGCCCCTGTGTGTCCCCAAGGGTCCCGAGGGTCCCTGTCCCTGACCCCCGTGTGTCCCCAAAAGTCCCCAAGGGTCCCGAGGGTGGCTGTCCCTGACCCCCGCGTGTCCCCAAAAGTCCCCAAGGGTCCCGAGGGTCCCTGTCCCTGGCCCCCGTGTGTCCCCAAAAGTCCCCAAGGGTCCCGAGGGTCCCTGTCCCTGGCCCCTGTGTGTCCCCAAGGGTCCCGAGGGTGGCTGTCCCTGGCCCCCGTGTGTCCCCAAAAGTCCCCAAGGGTCCCGAGGGTCCCTGTCCCTGACCCCCGCGTGTCCCCAAAAGTCCCCAAGGGTCCCGAGGGTGGCTGTCCCTGACCCCCGCGTGTCCCTGCAGAGCCCGGTGCCGCTGCCCGAGGCCGCCTACGGCAGCTCGTCCCCGGCCACCGAGGGCAGCGGCAGCAGCTCCCCGCAGGGCCAGGGCCGCTCTCCCGCCTTCAGAGCCGCGGCTCCAAAGCCACCGGGACGGTCCCCAGGGCCACTGCCCCCAGGTAGGCTCGGGGACACTACGGGGGGTGGGTACAGGGCAAGGGACCCTGCCGTGGGTGTCCTGTCCCCACCCTGGGCACCCTGTCACCACCACGGGCCCCTGTCCTTGCTATGGACACCCCATCAACGCCCTGGGCACCCCATCCCTGCCCTGGGCACCCCATCAACGCCCTGGGCACCCCATCCCTGCCCTGGGCACCCCATCCCTGCCACAGACACCCCATCTCTGCCATGGACTCCCCGTCCCCACCATGGGTACACCATTCCCTCCATGGGCACCCCACCATGGGCACCCCGTCACCCCCCTGGACACCCCATTACCACTCTGGACACCCCATCCCCACCATGGTCACCCCATTCCCTCCATGGACACCCCACCATGGACATCTCACTCCCACCATGGGCACCCCATTCCCTCCCTGGACACCCCACCCTTCCATGGGCACCCCATCCCCACCGTGGACACTCTGTGCCTTCCACAGACACCCCATTACAACCATGGGGTGTCCATTTCCAACATGGACACCCCATTCCCTCCATGGACACCTCCTCCTTTCCACGGACACCCCATCCCCACCCTGGGTACCCCATTCCCTCCATGGGCACCCTACCATGGACGCCCCATTCCCACCACGGGCACCCCGTCACCCCCCTGGACACCCCATTACCACTCTGGACACCCCATCCCCACCATGGACACCCCATCCCCACTGTGGACACTCTGTCCCTTCCACGGGCACCCCATTACAACCATGGGCACCCCATTTCCAACATGGACACCCCACCCTGGGTACCCCATTCCCTTCATGAGCGCCCCACCATGGACACCCCATTCCCACCTTGGGCACCTCCTCCTGTCCATGGACACCCCATCTCCACCCCGGACACCCCATCCCCACCACGGACACCCCACCCCGGACACCCCATTCCCGACCTGGGCCCCCTGTCCCTGCCACTGCCACCCCATCCCTTCCCCGGGCGCCCCCCGCGCCCCGCGGGGATTTTCCCCGCCCGGCCCCGCATGCAAAGCTCCTCTCCCGGGGCCTTCCCGGGCGCGGGGCCGGGGCTGCGTGGGCAGCAGCGGGGCCGCAGCTGTGGAAACACCGGCCCGATCTCGCTCCAGCTGCTTCCTGTGCCCTGCCCGGCGCCCTGCCCGCAGCTGTGCCCTCAGCCCGTGCCCACCGCTCCCTCCCGAGCGGCACCGCCCGGCACGGGGGGCTCATCCCCTGGGGGTGACACAAAAACGCCACAAACCCCGGGGTTTGGGCAGAAACCCCCCCGGGGTGGGAGGTGGCACGGCACGGGGACAGGCAGCATCCCAAATCCTTGGTGGGGACAGTTTGGTGGCCTCAGGCGCGCTGGACATTCATCCGGGTGGGGGGTGCCCCCCAGCAGGGGACTTGCAGCCGCTGTCCCCCGTTTGTGGCCCCAGAGCCACATCCAGCCGCTGCCTCGGCGTGTCACCTCCTGTCACAGCCCAGGTGGCCCCTGGAGGAAGTGGCTCTGCCGGAGCGCGGCACCGTGCAGGCACACACGGCCGCCCGCGGCTCCGGGGCCACCGCGGCCACCGCGGCCACCGCCACGGGGATCCCCCGAGGATCATCCGTGCGTCCTGCTGTCCCTCTGTCCCCCAGGGCTCAGCTACCCCCTGTTCCCTGCCGCCAGCCTGAGCCGCGCCCTGGCCACCAAGACGCCACCGCCGCTGTTCCTGGGGGCCGAGGGCCGGCGTGGCGAGTGCCAGGGCAGCGTGGCGAGCGGCCGGAGCGGTGCCAGCGCGGCGGTGAGTCAGCTGTCCCCAAGGCCACGCGGCTGTCCCCTCCCCAAACCCCGCTCCTCCCGTGCGCCCCTTCCTCCGCGGCCTTGCTGCGGGGCTCAGGGAGGGGTGGGGAAGGGTCCCCCGGGGGTTTGGGGCACAGAACCGATTGGGGTCCCCCCGTTTCCCGCAGCGGCCGCTGTACCCCGCCCTGCAGACGCTGAGCCCCGTGCTCAGCCCGGGCAGCTCCGGCCTCCCGAGCCACGGCCTCGCCGGCTTCCCCTTCCTCAGCCCGGCCCAGGCGGGTGAGTGGCGATCCCTCAGCCTCGGGACAGCGCTGTCCCCTCCTTTTGTCACCCTCCCCTCTCACTGTGTCCTCCCACCCCGCAGATTTTGGGGCTGGCGAGGTCCCGCCGCCCCCCGGATTCCTGCAGCCCCCCGCAGCGTGGCAGCACCCCCGGGACATGGCAGCGCTGGGGTGAGGATGGGGTGGCCCTGGCGTGGGGACAGGGCAGGGGACAAGGTGGGGATGGGGTGGGGACAGGGCAGGGGGGACAGCGGGGAGCAGGAGGGGACAGAGCAGGGGATGGGGTGGGGATAGAGTAAGAGAGAGCAGGGAACAGGGGGGACAGGGCAGGGGACAAGGCAGGACAAGGGGGACAGGGCAGGCGTGATATGGCAGCACTGGGGTAAGGACAGGGTGGCCCTGGGGCAGGGGATGGGGGGGACAAGGCGAGGGTGACCCCATTCTGCTGCACCCACGGGTGTCGCTCCCAGCCACGGGCGCTGCTGGTACCGAGGGGCAGCCCCCCACCCACCAGGAGGCTCTTGGGAGTCACCCCAAAGCACCCCCAGTTATTCCCAGCCGGGTTCCCCCATGGATTTTGTCCCCATGTCCCGTCCCCCCCCAGCAGCCCAACTGGGCCAGAACCAGTCCAGAACAAGAACTTGGGGAGGGTTCTCAACCCCTCTAGGGGTGACCCCCGGCAGGTGACACGGGGACATCCCCTCACCCCGTCCCCTCTCGCCGCAGGGCCAGCAGCCGGATCGTCCCCGCGGAGGAGCCAGCCGCTGTCCCCGGCGTGTCCCCGCAGCACCAGGCCATCAGCATCAAGTCGGAGCGGGTGTCGCCGGGGCTGGGCTGTCCCCCGGGCACCCCCCAGCCCCCCCTGGCCAGCCTGGCATCCCTCAGCGAAGCCTCCCGAGCCCCTGGCGACCTCCAGCCCCGCGATGACTTCGCCAAGGGCTTCCCCCCGTACGCGCCGGGGCCGCCGCGGCCGCTGCCGGACGAGCAGAGGGTCCCTGTCCCCCCTGTCCCCACGCGGAGGGGACAGCCCGTGGACGTTTGGCAGAGATAGCGAGGCCGGCGGGGTGCGGGGAGGGGGAACACCCCTCTCGGGGGAGCAGCCCCCCGCTCCTCCCCCGTCCCAGCCCCTCGGGAAGCCCCCCCGTGCCCCCGGTGCCACCTGCAGGGTCACTGTCCCCATCCTTGAGACCCGTCCCCCCCCTCCCCGGCGCCCCCAAATGCCACCAGGCCCCCTCCTTTCGGCTGTGCCCCCCGCGCGGCCAGGAGCCCGGCGCTGTCGCGGTGTCCTGCGCGGTGGCGCTGGGCGCTGTCCCCTCCTGTCCCCGCGCCTGTCGCCGCGCCAGCAGCGTGTCCCCAGCGAGCGGGAGTGGCCGGGAAGTGCCACGCGGTGGCAGCAGGACTGAGAGCGGCGGCAGCGGCTCCAATTCCGGCCCAACCCCGCGGAGATTGGGGACAGGGGACAGGGGACAGTGCTGCGCCCCCAGCCAGGGGCTCTTTTCTATTTATTATCCTCGCACCAATAAAGAGCTGGGGGGCTCGGGCTGTCTGCTGTGAGGTTTTTGGGCTCAGGCAGCCCGCTTTGGGGTGGCACGGCATTGATGTCCCCACGGGAGGGGTGGCACGTGCCCGGAACCCCTCGGTCTCAGCGTCGCTGTCCCCCCCCTCCGTGTCCCCCAGGCTCAGAGCCACCCCTCAGGGGTCACTGAGCAGAGGGATGAGTGACAGCCGGGTCACCCCCCCCCCCCCCCCGTGTCCCCCAGGCTCAGAGCCACCTCTCAGGGGTCACTGAGCAGAGAGATGAGTGACAGCCGGGTCACCCCTGGTCTGGTCAGGTCGCTGGGGCTCAGCCGTGCTGCTCCCACCCCTCGGTGACCCCAAAAAGCCTCTCGGGGGTCTCGGAGCACGGGGGAGAAGGAAAAACCCCTGAAAATCGGGATTTGGGGGGCAAGTCGGGGTTTACGGGGGTGTGGGCCAGGCCCAGCTGAGCCGAGCCTGTTTTAGCTCAGGGCTGGGCTGGCTTTGGGGGTTCTGCCGAGTTTTGGGGTGCGGGAGCATCCCCTGCTGTGCTGGGTACGGCCACAGGCACGGCCACCCTGCTGGGGGGGGACAAGGAGGGACAGCAGGGTCCTGCAGCGCCATCACCCCACGGGGACACTCTGGGGGGGTCCGGGTCCCCCCCCAGCACCGCTTGGGCACCCCCAGGTCGGGATCAGGCGGGACTGGGGGTCCCCCACACCCTCCAGCGCCGAGCTGGGCCCCTTCCCTCGGCTGGGGGTGAGGGGGGGGATTACAGCCCCGAGATTAAAACCTGGGCGGGAGATTAATCCTGGGAAGAGTTTGCCCGGTTTAATAGAGCGCCATAAATACCAGGCGGGATTAGGGGGCTGTGCCGAGCCCCGGAGCCGGGCTGGGCCCAGGGCCGCCCCCCCAAAGGGTGGCAGGTCCCCTCCAGGGCCACCTTTGGGACCGGCCCGGGGTGTGTGAGGCGACACAGCGGGTGCGGGAGCGGGGGCTGGGGTAAGAGACACTGATTGAATAGCAATGACTGCATGATTTATGGTTTGCATTATTGCACGGCTCATTTGAATATATGCTAATCAGGCTTTTTTTTTTTTCTTTTTTTTTTTTCTTTTTTTTTTTCTCCTCTCCCCTGGTTTTGTTTGTAAGATTTAGATTTGCTATGGCAACCCGCTGGCATGGAAGGAGCGCCAGGAAATGTCAGGGCGAGGTGAGCCCCGGGGAGGGGCCGGGGGTTGGGGGGGCGGGGGTGGTGGCACCGGCGGGGGGACACGTCGCATCCCAGCACCGGGACACGGGAACGGCCGGCGGGAGCCGGAGGGCAGCGGCGGGAGCGCCGGGAGCCGCCGGAGCTGCGCATCCCACCCGTGCCTGCAGGTCCAGTACCGCCCATTGCGACACGTCCCAAACTGGGCTCGGGGGGTGCCCTGGGGTGTCCCCAGCCCCGCTTCGGTCCCCTCAGAGCGGCCTTTCTGTCCCTTTGTCGCCAGCCTTGCGGAGAGGGTGGCGTGCCCCATGGCACTGCCCCAAAGGTGGCACCCAGGGACCCGCAGCTTCCTTGGGGCGCTGGGGGTGACACTGGCGAGCGACAGAGCCGCGGTGTCCCCCCACTCACGGCCCAGCGTGGCCACCTCTGGCGCTCTGTGTCCCCTTCCCAGCCTGCCCGGGAGGTGGCCCAGTAAATCCCAGTTACCTGCAGGCCCAGCCGGGGGGTCCGCGCTGCTCCGGGGGTCGCTGGGCTCCGGAGGAGCTGCCGGGGCTTTGTCCCCGCTCGGAGCCGGCGCCTCCCCCTGTGCTGCGGGCGGGAGGTGCTGGGGGGACCCCCACCCCAATTTGGGGGTCGGGGACCTTTCCATGCCGGCCTGGGATGGGTGGGTTTGGGGTTAATTGCTGCCCACAGCAGCCCCGGTCAGCGGGTCCCCTGGGGGGTGATGTCCCCGTTCCGAGGGGACATTCCGGGTGACCACGGGGTCCCCCCGCTGTCCCCACCCCTCTGCGCAGCTCAGGGACCGTCCCGTGCCCTCGGGCAGCGCCGGGGACACTCCGGATTGTCACGGTGGCTCCGGGTGTCCCTGCAGGGCCGCCCTCTCCAACCGGGACCGATCTCCGCGCTCCCGGGGCCGCTCCCCGCCGTATAACGGGGCAGCCGCGAGCCCCGGGGCTGCGGCCCCGACGGAACGGAGGCGACCGGGCCCTGCTGGCGTCCCCGCCGCATCAAACCGGGGCCGAGACGGGCACCGAGGGCTGCCTCTCCCCCGGTGCATCCTCCCCCAAACACCCACTTTGTTGTTTTGCAAAAGCCCTGAAATATTCATGGCGCTGCGCCGAGCGCCTCTTAATGAATTTTTGATCAAAACTCCATCAAGGAGCCAAAACACGCCACCCACTCCCCTAAATCCGCGCCGTCGGGGGTGGGGGGCAGCGGGCCCGCCGGTACCGGGCGGCTGGAGGAGCCGGGCCCGGCCCGAGCGCCTTTTACCGGGGGAAGCCCCGGGGCAAACCGGGGGTCTCACGGTCACCGGGCACGGGAATTACGAGGCTGGCCGCAGGATTTGGGGTGTCCGACACCCAGGCCAGGCCTCCTGCTTCTCCCGGGGCCGGCAGGGAGCGGCCGAGCCCCCGGGAAGCCCCGGTTGGACGGGACGGGCGGGGGGCGGCCGGGGACGCCCGTCCCGGTGCCCCCCAGCTCGGCCGCTAGAAATATTCGTTAATGAGGAAATGCATAAGCGCAGCTCATTAGGGGAGAGCGCGGAGCCTTCCCGGAGCACCGGGCCGGGGGCTGCTCGTCCCCGGGGCGGGCAGGACTTGGGAGGACGCCGGGGCGGCACCGGCACCGGCACCTGCACGGTCCCGGTTCGGCGGCGGCGGCCGCGCATCCCGGTGGCTCCCGGGGCTGAAGCCAGGCCCGGCCCCGCTCGGGGGCTCCGGGTCTGCAGGGGGTTGGGTGTCCCTGGGTGTCCCCACTTCCCCGGGGCCGAATTTGGGGCGCAAACCCCCCCGGGAGCTGAGCGGAGCCCCCGGTTTGTTTTATTTTTTTAGCGCTCCCAAAATCCCGGTGAGCCCGGAGGAGCGGGGGAAGGGGGGAATCCATTCCCGGGGGCTCGGAGGTGTCAACCCGCGGAGCAGCGAGGGATTTGGGGTGGAATCAAATAAAAAAATCGCCAATTTCTGCTTCATTTCCACGCAATAATCCCGCAGCGGCCCGGGAAAGGGGAGCGCCTTCCGCAGCCCCGGGAGGGGGGGAAGGGGCAGGAGGACCCCCCAACCCTCCCTGCGCACCCCATGGGGTGCCCCAAATCCCGAGGGTCCCCCGGGAAGGCGCGGTGGGGTCCCCGGAGCAGCCGGTGCCACCCGGTGCCCGTGCAGGGCCGCATCGGCGGGGTCAGCGGGATTACTGTTATTATTATTATTATTATTTTATTATATATAAATTTTTTTAAATAATAAAATCCTCGTTATTTTTAGGTTCTGCTGCTGCCAGAGCCGCCCCCCGCCCCCGGTTCCTTGCGCTGTAAAAAAAAAAAAAAAAAAAAAAAAAAAAAAAAAAAAAAAAAAAAAAAAAAAGGACGCATTTTTTTTATCCCCTCCTCTCTCCCATCTCCATTTCCAAAAGGGACAAAATGGATGTTTGGGCGGAATCCGCCCCCCGTGACAGCCGCCTCACCCCGAGGCCCCGCTGGCGGCGGGGCCGGGGCTGCCCGGTGCGCTCGGCAGCCGCGGGCAGACGTTCCCTGTTTAACCCCACGTAACGGCAACGTGATCGCGGGGGGCTCCGCTTCCCGCAGCCCGGCCGGTGCTCTCCGGGAGCCGCAGCCCCGCCTGGATGGCCCCGGGCTCCGCGTCCTGCCCGCTGCCGGTGCCGGTTCCCCCCAGCCCCGCGGCCCGGACGCTGCCGGTGTCCCGGCGGCTCCCGCTGCCGCTAAGTCAGTAATGGACGCAGAGGTGCGGAGGGAGGTAAATAATCCCCTCCCCGCTCCCTGTTTTTTTTTTTTCCCGCTGCCGTTTTTTCCCCCCCTCCCCTCTCCTTTGCCCCGCACTGAACTCCCCGTGCCGGTGCGGGGACCGGTGCTGCCGGTGCTGCCGGTGCTGCCGGAGGGGCAGGGCTGGGCGGGCACCGGCGGCCGCCCCGCTCCCCCTCCCGCTTCTCCCAACTTGGAGGAAGTCTGCGAGGGGGGACCCCGCGCCTCCCCTTCCCTCGCCTGATATTTTTAATTTTTTTTTTTTTTTTTTTTTTTTCCCTGCCGGTGGGGGGGGGGT